GTGAATAACAATTAAAAAGCAATGTTTATGTGGAAGAACAGATATACATGCTATTTCTGGACAGTTATAGACCTTAAACTATTTACATGAAGTAAAATCCAAAAAAGACAGTATATGTTATGAAAATATTGAATTTTCCCAAGAGCTTTGAGTGAATTTCCTTCTTGAAACCATGAGCTGCCCTGAATTGTCAGGCTTCAGTTATGGCTGATTAGTTTCTGGCATTTAACTCCGCTGTAAAATGTAGCTCTTTCTTTTGACTATAAAGTGAAATAATTCTCAAAATGGTGAAATTATCTTCCTTGAAAGCCATGATTTTCAGCTGCATTTTATGTTGTGTTATTGTGCTCTTCCTTCTTGCACTGCAGAGACTCCTGAACCATCCTGTTTTTTGGCCTGCGGTTATTGAGCCTTAAAAATGCTTTGTTGAGCTGCTGTTGGAGAACACTTACGCAAAAACATGTATTTCAGCCGTGCAGATTTATTTGCAAGTTAAGAGATGTGAAACCAGCTCTGGTGTTGGGAGACATCTGTGACTATTTTACTGTATGTTTCTTGCAAGCCGGTGACAAAATTAATTGTGTTATTCAGCCTGATTACTCAAGATTAATTGAGTGTTGTAAACATTTCACTGTTGTTTTCCAAGAACAGACATAGCCACCCTGGCTTCCAAAGGTGATTCTTGGAATAGTGTGGTTTGTAGAAAGGTTTTTTTCCAGTTCATTTAATATTTTATTGACCTATTTTTTCATTTTTTACTTTCATTGTTGTACACTTTACCAATCCTTGCCAGTTTAATATCTTCCCAGACATGCTACTAGTCCATATGTACATGACTCAACTTTAGGCCTTCTGTCCATCCTGGATATTTGGCATTAAGAACACAATAGCTGATGCTGTAAGTGCTACTGAAGATCGTGTCCTTGCATTAGGATTTACCCTGTAGAAATGTATGCAGAATTGCAGAAACTGTTTAACAAACAGACATGTACATGATACTGTATATTTATGAACTGCAAGCCATTGTTTGTTTAAGTAAATCAAAGAAATAGTATGACCTCATGGAGTCTTTGTTTAGCGAAAGCCAGTTCAGACTCCTGTGTAGTGTGTATTTAGGACCCTATACAGCCGATAAAATCCAGAAGAGACTGGAGAAGGGCAACAGGGAAACACGACGGGATCAGGGCGAGATGATTGACAGGGGGGCGTGGCGCAGGCGAACAAGTCCAAAACAATACGAAAGGGGAAACCAAGAAGCAGTCCAAAAGTCCATAGCCGGGAGATCCATCCAAAGAGAGACAGGAACAAGTTCTGAGCCCAGAACTTCGGAGGCATGGGATTTAAATAATACACATGGAACAAGGGACAGGGGAACGTAATAATGAAACTAAAATACAAAAAAGGGTCGGAGCACCCTCTACAGGAGGGATAACAATCGTGACACTTGGTCAGTGAAAAAAACAGCAAATCAAAAGGCTACTGAGAATTTATCTGAGGACCTCATTCTGTACATAGAAATTTGATCCGAACACATCATGCAAAGCTAGTATGATGTACAGTTTATGGCTCCACGTTTGCCTTCACTACTTTAGGTCGATAAATAATTCTTTATACCTGCCAGTCACATATCACAAGAAGTCTGTTAACAAATAATTTCAGTTATTCGTATAAAAATCCAAACCTGGATTAGTATTTGGCAATTTATAATATTTAGAATTTGATATTGTATATTGTGCAGAAACTTCACACTCCACACAAACTATATGGATGCATTAAAATAAGTATAAAATACAATAGGATGTGCATGCTGTTTTTTTCTTCTGTAAACACAATAGATGATTACCCTTTTCTTGTCTTTAAAGATATTTTAGAAACTGCTATACTGTATATAGCGTGATCATTCCTGACAAACTGCTTCTGTTGCCACTTTGTTCCGAGAGGTATGGTACAGTATATCTGATTAAATGCAGGGGTTGTTTTACTCTTTATGGTTTATTTTTATTTTCAAGGGGTTTTGTAACAGTTGGTGCTAAGTTAGTAAATTAACTTAGTTACTTAAATTAACTTACTTAGTACTAAATTAGTAATTGCTGACCCTGGTTTGAATTTGCATGTCTGTGTCTGCATATGTCCTGCAATTTACTGGCATACTGACCAGGGTGTATCCTGCCTTGTACCCAGTGCTTGTTGTGATAGGCTCCAACTACCCAGTGACCCTCAAGAGATTAGAAACTGGATGGAGGATGGATGTTTGCCATTACTTCACACAAATGCCAAGATTGGAAGACAAAATAAAATAAAAAGTCATGATAAACTTGAATAGTTTATGGAATTTGAATGTTGATGTTTTTTGAGGTTATCTATATGTTTTTGGAAGGGTAACATAATGTGTACCATTAAACAATATGATGTTTCATATCAGAATATGAAGTTATGAAACATGAAAACATACAATTTAATATATTCTAAATTTATTCTGCTCTCACAAATAATGGTGTGGAAAATGCTTCCATAAACGGAGAAACCCAATGCATATTTAAAGTAAATGCCTTTTCTGGAAACCAACATGCAGTGTCTTGATTGAAAATTATGCTTGGAATGGAGAAGTGGTGGAAGTGGCAAAGTCCTTATGTTCTGCATCTTGACCCTAGTGCATCAAGGGTGTAGATGCAGGTCACAAAAAAAGTCAGTTACGAATGTAATGTTCCTGTAAGCTTGTTGATGGCTGTCTGTGAATTAATTCTTTAGTTGCTAACCATGGTGATTATACAGTACATGTGCATGCCATATAGTCCACATAGTCCATCTGTCTAGTGTTGTTACTTCTGTTTTCTATGTGTCCTGAATGTGCCCTGTATTGTAATTGTTACATATTAGAATTGCCCTAATGTCATTTCTTTGATGTTTAAAGTGATTTGCAAAAGCTTGTTGGAATCTTCCAGCTTGAAACATACTGTACAGTAAGCTATCCTTGATTATGCTCATCACGTGATAATCACAATATTAACTGTTTATAGATTATTTGGACTGCTGTCACACCTGAGAGACAGCTTCCAAATCAGTGACTATAATATAGTATTTTTCATTAGAATAGGATTATTTCTTCAGGGATGCACAACCTTTTTTACATAGTTCTGTGTATCAGCTGTTGCTTTCAAACCCGTGACCTATACTGTAGGTTAGTACAGCACAAATCACTTTATAACATTTGTGGAGACACGGAAAATAAAGGCTGCTTCCTATTTCTTTTTTAAAATCCTGGCCTTCAGACAATTGTGTCTTTGCTTTGCTACTGTTTATGATGAGTCATAGTGCTCTCTGTAAGGAAACTGCTTCATGTGCCATAGAAATGTCCTTGATTCAGGATGCGGAGAGGACATTACCTGTACACTTCTCTCACAGCACTGAGCAGAGGATCCAGACAGTACTGGATTTGCATTATGTCACTTTTGCTGTATAAAAGAGGTGGTAATAGAGTACATGTAGTTTTTTCTGCTTCATTGCTTTACATGCTCACTTTAATTTTCTCACAAAGGTATTGCTTCTACCCAATCAGTTTTTCTGTCATATTTTTTACATCTTATGGATCCTTTTCATCTTGGAAAAATAAACTTTGGATAAGTCACTTTGGATAAAAGCATTTGTCAAATAAATGTAAATATAACATTTTATTTCTCCAAAATAAGACTCCATTCTTAGTAAAACATTAACATTTCAAATAATTTTTCCAAAACTCTGCAATATTGCTTTTAAACTAAGATTCACTGATATATGTTTTTCTGTGGGCTACCCTAATTATTATAAAATTCCTCTAGTCCAGTGCAGCCCTATTCATATATAGATAACAATGAAATTTAAAGTAACGGTTAGAGAAACATCTTATCTTAGATTATATTGCTCAGTGTAGTTTTTCTGCTGCATGAAAATCTAGTCACTTTTGAATAATATATTGAAATGTCAAAATCTTGGCAGTTTTTTCATGAACTACATTAACTTAATGTGTGATATTTTTGTGTAGTACAAAATTAATCTTACTCAAAATGTCAATTTTTTAAATGAGCCACAACACATTGGTGGGCTTGCCTGTCAATTTGACCAAACAATTGAATGTTCATAAGCTTATGTAAAAAGATGATATTTCTCTGTGTGCGTGTCCTGCTTTCCTTTGGGAGACTAGATTACGGAATGATAACTGAGGCAGAGAATGGAAGATGATTTGACGATTTTGTCAAATGCTTCATTGCACAAGGAACTGCAATATTCCCTTAGCAAACTGCCATCAAATAGAAATGCTTTTCTCAATGACTGTTGACCTTGGTCGGATCAAGTGAGGAACGGATAGGGTTCTGACCTAGGAACATGTATTGTACACCTGACTGCTGGGTCCCCACTGTTCTCATCGGGAGTGTTTTTCCTCTTGAAATATTAAATATCCAGAGGACCAAATGAGATAAGAAGTGAGAGGAAATTCAGATAGGCATCAGAATTTAGCACGGATGTGTACTCTTACAAGGTGATCTTTTTCTCAACATCCATAAAAAAAACACACAACGGAGACAAAGCCACAGATAATGAATCCATTTGGGATTTAATAATACAATGTTTTGTTACAATGGTGAGCTGTGTATAGAACCCCTAACTTTACCTGCAACTGAAGGTCTTAGGCCTGAATTATTTTTTTCTGTGCTTCTAGGCTGTACTGATACATTCATTTTCTATAAAATCCTATACTCCAAAAAAATCCATTAGAAAAGGAATACCCATTTTTAAAATATAAATGCAGTGTGCCTTAAGCAACAGAGGCAGAATAGAAGAGACTGTTATAGGGTTCAACTTTAAGTCCCAGTGAAGATAACCTGATAATCTTCTGCTTGGATTGATTTATTGAAAAGCTTGCAGTGACACTGGCAATGTAAGGGACGTTTATATTCTCAAGGATGGAGCTGATAATGCAGTAATTTGCAACGTGATAAATGTAATGTTCTCTTTTTATTTTATAGGGGATCTTTCCAGTCAGCTATGTTCACTTGAAGAAGGCGATTGTAACTAACAGAGGGTAAGTGTCTTTATTGAATTATAAGGACCTGATTTTATAAAATGAACTTAAAAAAGGTGCAGTTGAGGGCATGATTTATTCATTTAGCTCATTATTACTCCCACTTTTCTCTTCCCTTTCGCCTTCCTCATTGCTAAGACTCTTCATTGCTGATTTATTTCTGCCGGTGTTTTCCAAGGGATTTTGTCTTCAGAAATGGTTTTTATTGACAGCCATATCAAGATTTATGTTGTCGGCGAGCATCAGACAGGCAAAGAAGTTGTTTGTAAAGATAAATGAGGGAAAAGGTTCATAAAACTTCAGAGAAGGTAGTTCATCTTCTTTACTTTCTGTAAAGGCAAAAAAGAAAACATCAAGCAACAGAAAACTCAAGCATGTTTTGTTTCATAGAGAAGGGGGTGATTGCAGGTGAATCTGCTTAAAAACTGTGTTGTTCTATGTGAACACTGCATTTTTGGTATAGTGAATGCGTTTTAAAAACATACTGAAGAAAGTTTTGATTTCTCCCTGATCTCTTTAATTAATAAATACTATTCAAATGTGTTTTAAGTTTTTACATTTCTATTAAAAAGTTTATCTCATAAACTCTGTAGCTCTTTTAAACTCTACTGTTTAGGGTGGCCTTTTGAGATGGTTTGCAGCCAAGACCATTATTTATGATGAACAACTATTGGAGGTACTCTGTGTTCAGTAATTATTAAAGACACTCTTGTAATAGTCTACAGTCTATTACAAACATTACATGATACAAAGTTTCACTTTATTTAATCACTGGCCATTGTGTGTTTTTCATTTAATTTCCAGTTCCTCCAAAGTTACACTTTGCAATATTTTCAATTATTTCCATACAGTACACATATAAAATATGACCAGAAGAAGTTAGGCTTGGAACATGTTGTCTATAGGATCAACAGACAAAGCTTTAAATACACACTCAAGTCAGTCCTAAATTCAGTCTTGTTTTTGCTATGACCGTGGATAGGTTTTGCTCAGATTTTGACCTATGAGCTAGTTCCCAAGATATTGTAGAAAACTAAAGGCATACTGATTGGGCTATGAAACCTTTACCAATGCTGTTCTGTCACTGCAGTGTGATAGTGTTTGAGCTTCACACTTTCTTAGAGTCTAGGAAATATAAAAATGGTTGCAAATAAGAGGAGGCCATCTAGCCCATTTGCTGTCAATAGTTTCATTAATAGAATTAAAGGCAATTACACAGTTGACTTCATAAGGTGGCTTATGAGCTCAGATGCACACAGATGTTATAAAACAAGTTTATAGAATGTGATTGCTGTTTAAAAAATCTGACTGAACAAGCACAAAGTTCATTTTCTGTAGTGATTACGTGACAGTAGCTCATGTATTAACAACTTAAAGCATTGTACATTCACAAATGTTAAAGTTATTTTCATATTCATTAATAAACAATGGCGTTTCAGTAGCATGCAACAGTGAATAAGGGTAATAAGTACCACTGAACCTAAAAGTTGGTGTCACGGATGTCGGAAAGGATGAACTGTGGAATGGCAGGAGAGCGAAATAGATCCTATGCATAGCAGCGAGATGGGGGTTAGCCCGGGCTCAGGTGTTCAGAAAATGCCGTATAGAAACCTATGCCCTCAGGTAGTGGACCTGGGGCGACCTGGTGCTAGGCGGGTTTCAGGACATCTGAACCTCAATGCTGAGCGAGGAGCAGAGCAGAAGCAGGAAGAAAATAGGCTACACAACAAGACACACCAGAAAGACATGAATAATCACAGGGAACTAGGAACAGGAGAGAAGGAGAGCGCCCTCTAGGTGTACTGGGCCTGACAGCTGGTGCACCTGATGAATGTAATGGAAACTATTGAAATATAATATCTCATATGTAAAGCACTTAATAATGGCACTTAATATCTGGGGCATTTTTATATGCTTCAGATAAATTTAACAAAGCTGCTTGGTCCTGTGGGGAGGTAGTCCTGCAGAATCTCTAGGTCTCTCAAATCATCACTGCCTTAAAAAATGGGCACAATGCCTCGTTTGTTCCAATTAACAACTACAAAGTTCAAATAACTGCAGGCTCAGATTGAATGAAGATTAGAAGGACTTACTTCTCTATCGACCCTGAAACTGCCCTACCCCTAACATAATAGCACATTTTAATTTCTGTATTTCTTTTTTCCTTAGAACTGTATTGACAATGGTTTTGGATGGATTTATGTCAGAATAAATTATTATTCCATTTAATATTAATGGGATACACATACAAAGCAGTTTACAGACTGAACTGACCAAAAAGAATATAAAAAAGGGATCTATAACTCTTCTTTGTATGGCTCATAAAATGTACACTTTGATTTAAACATGTATTTAAGTATATTGTTATTAACCTTCATGTGAGAGGCTGTGAAGTTCACACACTGGCCTTCTCAAAGAAGCAAATCGGAAATCATGATTCCTGCTAGTGAAATCAATAGCGAGGGTTATCTGTTTTGCACCTTCCTGTGATTGTGGTTTCAGTCAAATTAATCTGTAAAAGTGAAACTCTATGGGTTATCTTTAAAACATGAATTGGATCACACCAAAATCTCCAAACAGTAACACTTAAGCAATATATATTTCAAAGAATTGCTAGCTAAATATCTTAATTATTACAAATGTTAAGCTAATATGGTAATTGAAACAACTAGATCAGACTGTGGGGTATTTTACAGCTTTAAGACTTTGAAAAAACTGATATAATCTGAGTCATACAGTAAATCCATGGAAGCTAATTATCATTAAAGCACAGAACCTTTTCAATTGAGAAAACATTTGCATTTTGAAGAAAATCACTTTGAAAGGCTTAGATAAAACACTTTACATATCCAGATATTGAGAACATGATCAGCCATTTTCAGCAATGGTCTGAGTGCATCTATTTATACAACAGAGCACTTGCTTAAGCAATTTAAGTGAATGGCCTTGATCAAGAGTACAAAAGTAGCACCTCACCCACCATTTGAACCCATTCTCTAGGTCTGGAGTCCAAAGCCCTAATTAAAGTTTGATTTCTAGTCATTCCATATGTATCACATTCTATTAAAATTAAACAAGAACAAATCTATGGTTTGTCATTTGATCATTTGATCATTGCACCCAAAGTGCAACTCCAGTTCAGCACGGTTATCTCATGCAGGGGCAATTTAGAAACACCAATATGGGTTGCTGATGTGTCTTTGAAAGGAGTCTTTCAGAGACCACACAAACTCCACAAAGAAGGCGCCCCAGCCCGGAATGAAACACAGTGCTCGAGAGCAGTGGGGAAGCAGCATCAACCACCAAGCACAATCAACCACCATGTTGACCATAAATGGCAGTGTGACAAAGAGCTGGCGCTTGACCTAGTCGCATGACCTCTTTTGAGGTCTATCAGAAAACTTTATCACTCACCTGTTGTTCTTATCCTGGAAGCCTTTGCACATTTGTATCTGGTTTATTATTTGAAATAAGTTAATCTATGTTTTGGTTGCTTTGTTTCTGTGTTATGTGTTGTCCTCACCTGTTTATTATTTTGTATCACCAATGGTTTAAATGGAGGGTTCCTAACTATTAAAGTTAGTTAGGAAGTTTATTGGTTAAATAAAGTACTAGCAATGCTATTTTTATATTTCAGGGTTAGATAGAATCAGCTTTTATGAGTGCATTACAAATCACAATAAAAGTAAAATATACACATTCAAGTCTAAAACCAGCAATTTACATCACAAAACAGACTAAATATCCAGATACTGTATGCGCAGCTCCATGTTCTGTGACTCGGAATTTCTGGTGACATGTTGCAGAAAGAAAGAAAACAGGTTTGTGAATAGAATATTGCTATAAAATATTGCTATATTTCCAATAGAAATATTGCTCTCATCTTCGAGACGGTCTAGCCGACAAATACTACTTACTTGTTAACTCTAAATGCAAGAGGACAAGAAGGTTGCTATAAAACCATGAGATTGAGGTAAAAAAATCCCAGAAAATTCTATATAACTCCAAGAATGGCTTATAGAAAGCATCACATCCTGGGGTTTGCATTAACTTGAGCAAAAAGCCATTTTTAAATTTATGGTCCTTAAAACTGAATGATCTTAGTGGTAATTGTGAAATTGTGAAATAATGGTAATTGTAATTAGGTATGGTGATTGATTTCAACAAGTTATTTTTTGTTTATAGGTTTGCAGGATCACTGTTTTTGGCACATGTGAAAAACCAATTCTGTTTAATTAGGCTGCACTTGTAGGCACAACCTGGAAAGCACTGAGATAAATGGAGGACCGATAAGATCCATTTACATAGTGAATTAAAGAGGATAAAAGAAGGACACGGGGAGACTCATTTAAAGAACAAATGATAAACTTAACATGAGAACAATAGAGAGAGGAGGGAGATAGAACAGGAATAAAATCAGAAATATGTTTTTAGTAAGGAGAGACAGTGGTCACGGGCGGAGCGGATGCGCTTGACTAAAATGCAAATTTTAGAACACCATTCACATTTCACGCATCTTTTATCTAGTTATACAGTACATGGAAACTAACAGTAACATATTCTCGTTAATTCCCTCAGGAGCATTATATAACCAGTGCAATAGGAAACCGGTCTCAACATTGAAAGAGGGATAATCCAAGCTTAATCTCATTAAATATACTGTACGTTTTTCGGTTCTTATTTCATCCACCGTGAAGAATGAAGAACAGATATCACAGGCAAGGTGCTCAAATGCAGACAGCTACATCAAAGTGACAAAGTTCTGTGTGCCTTCACCTTCTTATAGGCAGTACGAGACGGTGGTCCCACTGGAAGACCCCATTGTGACTGAGGTGACATCAACTCTTCAGGAATGGGCCGTTTTGTGGAAGCAGCTTTATGTGGTGAGTACAGCTTCACAAGTCTGTTGGCTTTAGCTTCTCAAAAGAAGGAATGCAGGTACACACTATCATGCAGATATGGAGAAGATGTTGGGGTCATCAGGTCAACATTTCTTGAGTGTACAGGTCATGTTTATAATTTTAGGGAAGGAACACAGCCAATGGCTGGTATTGTGAAGGCCCTTACTTCCCCTGAGGGCAAACTGTCAGTCTAGTTAATTCCCTCAAGAGTGTTAGGTTTGTGCACAACCGAGAAAGAGGACCTAGAATTTCTTAAAGAAATTTGAGGTTGGTTTGCCCAGAACAATTTGTGTATTTCATGTTTAAAAGTACCATCCATCTTTTCTTTAGGGATAAGCCCATAACTGTAAAAAAAAAAAAAAAATACTGTATAAAACTGTGATAGCAACTTTTATTTCTCTTCTTGATTGTTTTTGCTTCTGCTCTATTGTGGATTATCAGTGTAATGAAACAAGAAGTAATGTAAGCTTGTGCCACTACTGGATTAGCTGATGTGGATCTTACCAAAGCATTTCCTTTTGACTGTAGTCACCTCTGTGAAGCTCCATATCTGTTTTTTTAAAGATATTTGCTTTTTTGTGAGTCAGATTTTTTTCACAGTGTCTCAGTGTTTTTATGTAGGAATACGATAACAGGGCATGCAAGTATAATTTCAAACAGAAATGTTATTAGGAATGGAATAAAATATTGTTTATATTGTACTGTATGTGAAGTTTACAACTTTTTGAGAAGGTAGACATACTGTAGCTAATGGCACCTCTGCTTCAAGTGCAGTCTGCATCATTGCAGTAGTGGTCTGTAAAAATCATCTCTTAACAACTTTTTATTCTTTTTTATCCTATAAATTTTATGAAGACTAAATACTGGAATATTGTTTAATTAGAATTATGTAGTGGAGTACCACTTTACATTGAATGCTGTGAAATGAATGTACTGTAACTGTCATAATGTAACTTTTTGTAGAACTGATTTTACTTTATTGTTTTCAGGAAACAAACAATAAGGTTATGATAATGAGACCTTAACAGTAACTTTACATGTACTGTAAGAGAAATTAGATTTATACATATACAATTACTTTTTTCATATACGTTGCCCTTTTTATTAATGAGTGTTACATTACCAAATTTCTAGTCAAAGAGTAGAGTACCCCCATCTTGAGTAAATGTTGAAAAAGGTCTTCTAATGGCTTATAGTATCTCTGATTTCCTTAAGCACAAATGGCAAATTACCATGAGACCCCAGAGATTTGTTTCAATTGTAGTACCTGTAACACTTCCATGTCTTTTATGCTAGCACTGTTTCATATAGCTCTTTGTCTTTCCTCAGATTGAGGCATGTTGTCAGTTTCTTGCTTAATAAACACCTGTGTGAAATATTCGCAGTGCTACATTAGCCATTTCTCTCATTTAAAAACCATTATTTCTGACAGACTCAATTATTTGGTGTTTTGTGATTACTAATAAAAACATTTGTCTCCTTATATCATTATTTCTTGTCTATTTCATTGTCTTTTAAAATCTTGTGATTACATTTCATTGTACTCATCTTCTTGAAATGGATCTTGCTCATTTTTAATTGTTCTTTACAGTGATTTCTTTCTCCTTCTTTTTAAATTTGTATGTTAAATAATTTGAGCCACTGTTTTCTAGAGTTTGATCTGAATATAAATTTGTTCTTATTTCAGGGAGACTTGTGTGTTTTCTAGTACTGCTGTTTTTTTTATTCAGCTTTCCTTACAGTTTAATATTCTCCTTAGAATATTTTTTTCAGTTGATCCTGCAAGTCATTCTGAGCTATATGTTTGGACTATATAATAAAATATAATTAAATAGCAAATATCAGTTTACTGTAACTTCTTATTATATAACTACTGTCCACCTATAGGTGTGCCTTGGGTTCTCTTTTATATTTCTCATTCATATTTTAAAGAAGGAGCTGAATAATTAAAATCTATTTCTAGATCTTATCTCTAATTTGTTCTTGTAGGCTGAATAGTTAAGATAACTAATATCCAAAAGAACTTTCATAACTCTGGGCAGTTCCTCTAATTAACTCATCCAAACACTGACTCAGCCCTTCCTTTTCAATCTAAGTTTTTCTGATCTTACATAATCACACTGTGGTCTAGGACCTAAAGAGATTGTCATTTTATAAAACTGCTGGTCAGTGGTCTTAATTTTAATTAAAATTTAATACTAGCAAAAGTGTGTCTGTAGTTATTGTCTTCCTTCTTTTACATTAATTCTTTATGTTGCGATCAGAAATGGGAGGTTTCAATTATATCTTCATTTCAATATGCAAGTAATACATCAGACAATGGTATGTATGTCCTTGTCTGTGTATGCAAATATGTTCAAAATAAAATAATAAAGGTCATATCCAGAACCTAGTAGTAGCTCTATGAAACCTAAAACAGCTGAAATTGAATTATCTTATTTTCATTCCTGTATTGCAGTTATTTAAACAACCTTTGAATGGAAAATAACACCTTGGATTACAGAAGGTGTTTTTATCTGAATTTCATTTCATTAATATGTTAGAATTTAATTATCTGTGTTCTGATAAGCTCCTTCTCTTTGTGCTTTTTGTATCATATGGTTTCCCTGATAGAATTGTAGCTAAATGTCTGTTGAAAGAGTTCAGCAGAAGTGCTCAGTGGAAGCCAATTTTATTTACTGTGCATCATCACTGCAATTCTTGAACTGCTCATAGTTTCAAGCAGAGGATATGAAATCTTAGTACAGGTTTGAGCAGTCTGTCCAACAGACTGTAAATAACCCTACTTATTTATTTCTCAACTCATTCTGTTTTTAATCCATGGTCTCTGCAACTCCAGAAGAACTTGTTATTATGTGGAATGAAGAGAGAGATCTATGAAAGTCATAGCCTCCTGCAGAAATTTGCATCGAGTACTATGGTGCTGTCAGACATGACGAGATCTTTTTCCAGCAATCACCAAACACAGAAAATCAGTACGCAGACAGCTATTTATATGACTGGTCTGCATGTACCCCGACTGATGCTTTGGCTATAGATGTGTTTGCTTTCTGTTGCTGGTAATGGATTAAGCTTCATACAGTATGTATAGATCATAGAGTGTCAAGAACATCAAAAAGCACATATTGTTTGTTTTTGGTATAGAAAAACAAAAAATGATTCAATCTGGTTTTGAATAAAGTGCTTACAAATCACTGAAATAATAGAACATCATTGGGACAACTCAGAAATCATAGAACACAAAAAAAATGTTTTTAGTATCTGGATTTGGGTCGGGATCGTGTGTGAAAAAGAAGCAGATTAAACTTGACCCATCTCCCAGATTTAAATTGCAAACCCATTAGGTAGAAACATATCCCTTCTAACAAATAGGAACCTACCAGCAAGCACTTGCAGTGTGATTTGGAACTGTCATATGTAGTTATAAAACTTTGATTGAATCTTACTGAAAGTAAAATAAAGTAAAATCAAACTAAATATTCCTGGATTAAGCATTTGAATGAATTTAGACATCAGGCTATTTAACAAAATGTTCACCGTATAAACAATCATGCCATTCTAAACAAGATGAAAAGTGCTGGCCAGTAGATTTAAAGCAGCATGATTATAGCTTTACATAATTACAACATGCATGTTTTTTTTGCACTCCCGCCAATTAACTATACATTTGAGTTCCATCCAAGTACATTGCAATAAATACAAGCCTAATTGTAATTTTAAAAAAATATGTTAAATCACATTCCTTCCTTGAGTCTCCAGAATTGTCAATTTGGTTTCTTTTAAAATAGGTATGAAAAAACAAATCTGTACCTGACATAAATGAGACCATAATTTGAGATGATACCACAAAGCTCTCTGGGAGACCAAAAGATATTCTGAGTATTATAAAAATAGATCTGTCATTGAAATAACATATTTGCCATTTTGAGTTGCATTGTTTGTTTTTGCATTATTTTTCAAGTCATGGTACTGAATCCTCAGACAGTAGGAATATTAGCACTTTTACAATGGTACTGTACAAATGACATGATAAATTAAATTCTAAATAAAAAACTACATTTTTTCTATGTTTTAAACTCTGCAATGGATACCAAATATTGAAAGACTTTAATAGTCCTATACCAAGATAATAAGTATAATGTACAAGGTAATAGTTTAATATAATATTCATATACTGTATGTTGTTTCAAGGAGAAAACAGGCAGACATTTTCAGTCTGATTTCCATTTTGTTTCTGATTCATTCTTCAGATGCCAGAGAAAGGAAAGTAGCACTAATTCATTACCCACCCACAGTTTTTGAACAGCTGAAAGATGACTCTTCAAATGGCTAGACCGATGTCTTTAATAAAAATAAATATCACAGCAGAAAGCTCAGAAACAGGAATATGTGCAGTAGAACAATCCCTTTAACCTCTCTGGATTTCAACAATTTGAATACAGAATTCTATTTCAAGGCTTCTTTTTGCATGGGTGCATCACTGTGTATAATTTTCACATCAACAGTTTTTATGTAATAAGGTGCACCTTATCTTTAAACATATCATTGGATAAGGTACACCTTCATTTAAAAACCCTTTTATAAATGAAGTCCTTTATCTGTTACTGGAGCACATGTTTCTCTTTTCATATCTTAACCTGCAATATTAACCATATGCTGTCATTAACATTATCTACTTTGTGTTTATATGAGAGTAGTACAGTTTGTTGTGGGAAAAACAGTCAAGACCTTTGTTCCCTCATGTACTATTTGTACATAACATCATAGAATCTAAAAGCTTATGCTTTACCCTTTGCAAGTTATTTATCTGTCAACAATAAAAAGTACTGTATTTAAAATTCAATCCTTGAACCAATTACAAGACACTTTCTGGATTTATCTGGCTGGCTGGCCTCTTGCTCCTGCAAGGCAAGCATATTAGCCCAGACACTGCGAGACAGAAAGCAAACAAGGCATGGCAAATCATTTTTGGACTGATTTCT